CTTTTTTAAAGTTGATTATCTCAAGTATTTTGTTATAATAACAGAAACCCATCTAACACTGACTGGATTGCAATAACTGACAATGTTCATACCCAAGTGCTTTTGCTTGCTTTAACTTCCATCACTCATTTCTCCTTATCTGACCTTTGTTCTGAGTATTGTTCCTCTTTCTTCAGGAGACTCAGAGACAGAAAATGGATTTCCTGGCTCTTAGTTCGAAGTTTGATCTATCTTAACAAGAGGGTCCCTTCCTGTATTGTAGATTTTCCTTTTCCTTCTCAACACAAGAATAAGGCTCTGGACTGCTTTATTTCCCCATATGATGGTTTAATCAGAATCAACTAGGATGAAATTTCCCTAGTGATTTGACAAAAACAAAACAAAACAAAACAGCTCCAGCCTTCTCGTTTCCTTTTACCCACAAGAAAGTTCCAGGCTTTCCCTGCAGGTGTAGAAACAGATACCTTCAACCTGAAATCATAATACAATTTCCCGATTTCATCCAGGATGGATAGAATCCACCCAGGATGGCTCAATGCCAGGATTCCAGGAATATAGAGATGTGAACAACAGTCCCTTTTCCTCCAGGAACTCACGGGTTGGTAGACAAAATGGACCAGAGAATTCCATTTGGCTTTGCAGTAAATTAGCGGAAATTATTCAAGTCACAGCGATGCCCACGTGTCAGGCCTTTGCCAAGCCTTCCCCTGCAGACTTGTCAGTTCCATTTCACAGCCTGCTCCAGGTAGCTCACCAGTTCCCCTCTGGTGAATTTTCTAAGAATTCCAGGGTCCCTAAAGACCTTCATCCACCCAACTACCATGACGACCAACGAGGACACAGCCGTGACTGTGGGATTCAGCAGATATTCATTGGTGACTTAGCTAAAAATCGTCCAGAGGGGTGGTGGGAATGGGATCAGGTACAGCTAGTGTATTATGGGTTATGCCTGAAATCTCAGCCATTTGAAAAAAAAGGGCTCATGGGTGAATCCTCCTCTTTTTCTGTTCCTGTGGACAGCCCTGACCCCTACCCACAGTGAACACAGCTTCTCAGCAGCAATCAGTCGCACTTAGTCACTGCAGCTTGAGGACGTTCATATTGGCCATACATCCTTCCCCTCTCATTTTCCTTGCCCCTCACTCCTGCTCTCTAAAGAACAGCACTTTAGTTTCTTCCCCCCACTCTTGTTTCTGGAAAGACGAAATCCAACTGTTTGTGGCAGGAGTGGTCCTAGGAAACAGACCCTCAAGATGGGGTTTTGGAGCTAAGTTACTCTATTTCTTTATGGTGAAGTGGGTGGAGCAACCCCTGGCATTGTGATTATTAAGGTGCTCATCCATGTAAGCAAAATGCTAGAAAAACAGAATGCGGTGCATTGGCCAGTGCCATGGCTGTTGTACTTCACTGGTATGGAGCAACAATAAGAATTATTGGCTTTTTCTCCCTAATTTTTAATTAGGGTAAAATAAATGCAACATAAAATTTACCATCTAAAGTATTTTTAGCTGTAAAGCTCATTAAATATACTTAGTGTTGTGTAGTCATCAGTATCATCCATTTCTATTACTCTTTTCATCCTATAGCACTAAAACTCTGTGCCTGGTAAACAGTAACATTCCATTCTCCTTCCTCCCAGGCCTTGGCAACACCATTCTACTTTCTGTTGCTGTGGTTTTGACTACTCTAGAGCTCTCTGAGTAAGTGAAATCATAGAATAATGTGTCTTTTTTTTTTGTGACCTGCATATTTCACTTACGTCCTCAAGGTTTATCCATGTTGCAGCATGTCTTTTCCATAGACAAATAATATTCCACTGTATGTGTATTCCACTTTTGTTTACCCATTTACTACATCTCTCAATGGACACTGGGTTTTTTCCAACTTTTGGCTATTCTGAATAAGGCTGCTGGGAGCGTGGATAAACAAACACCATTTTTAGAGCCTACTTTCAATTTTTTTTCTCATGAAGTTTTGGGTAGAGTTAGGAATTGCTGGGTCATATGGTAATTCCATGTTTAATTTCTCAAGGAACACTGCTTTCCATAGCCACTGTACAATATGACATTCCCACCAACAGTGCACAAGTCTTTCAGTTTCTCTACATCCTCTCCTGTGATTTGTGACGCCGAATGTCTTTGCCTATGCTCATTGGCCAACTGTGAATCTTCTTTGGAGAAATGTTTGTTCAAATCCTTGCTTATTTTTTAAGCAGGTTGTTTAGGATTTTTTATCGTTGCTTTTATTGGTGTAAAGGTAGTTTATACACTTTGAACATTAACCCTTTATTACATATAGATTTGCAAACATATCCACCAATTCTGCAGTGCTTTATTTCCTGTCAATTGTGCCCTTTGATGAGCAGGAGTTTTCAGTTTTTGTTTTTTTGGGGGGGGGTTCTTTTTTGAGACAGGGTCTCACTAAGTAGTTCTAGCCAACCTTGAATTCACTGTGTAGCCCCAGCTGGCCTAGGGAGTTTTGAATTTTGATGTAGTCCAGTTTATATATTTTTTCCTTTTGTTACCTGTCCTTTGATGTCATATTCAAGAGATCATTGCCATATCTAGTGTCATTAAACTTTCCTCTTATGTTTTCTTCTGAGTTTTAGTTTTAGCTTTTATATTTAGATCTTAAATTCATTTTAAAGTGATTTTTATATATGGCATAAAGTATGAGTTATCACTTCTTTCTTTTGCATGTGGATTGACAGTTTTTTCCAGCACTGACTGTTGAAAAGATTGTCCTTTTCCCATTGAATGGTCCTGACATCCTAATCAAAAATCATTTGAACATAGATTTTAGAATTTACTTCTGATCTTTATTTTATTCCATTGTTCTAAAATTCTATTTTATGTCAATACCACACTGTTTTGATTACTGTTGCTTGAAATCAGGAAATAGTCCTTCATTTTTGTTTTTTTTGTTGTTGTTTTTTTAGCCTATTTTGGTGGAGTTGGCTGTGTTCTAAATGGTTGTATCCCTTTTCCCCACCCCAGGTTTATAGGTTGAAATCCTGAGCCTAAGGCAATGGTATTAAAAGGTGGAGCCTTTGAAAGGTGATTAGGTCAAGAGGGCTTTGCTATGAGAAGAGTGCCCTCCTACCGTGTGAGGACAATATGAACAGCAGCCATCAGTAAGTGTCAAAGTGGGTCCTGACCAGACGCTGAGTCTATGTGGACCTTGATCTTGGACTCCTAGTTTCCAGAACTGAGAGATAAATTTCTATTTCTTAAGATACCTAGTCTATGGTATTTTGTCATAGGAGCCTGAATAGGCTAATACAGGGGTCTCTTGAGAGTCCATGAGAATTTTAGGAATGATTATTTCTATTTCTACAAAAAAAATGCCATTAGGATTTTGATAGGAATTGCATTCAATCTGTAGATTGCTTTAGTAGTGACATATTAATATTAAATCTTCTAGCCCATATACATGGGATTTTTTCCATTTATTCTTGTGTTGTTTACTTTCAGCAATGTTCTGTAGTTTTCAATGTATAAATATTTTACCTCTTTGGTTAAGTTTATTCCTAAAAGTTGTATGCTTTTTATGTTGTGAGTGAAATTGTTAATTCTTAATTTGTTTTTCAGATTGCTCTTTGTCAGTCTACAGAAAATTTTGATTTTTGTGTCATTTTATATGCTATAACTTCATTGAATTTTTTAAAAGGGCTGATTGTGCTGCGAGTTAGCCATGGACTCTAGTTGAAAGACATCAGTGCTGCAAAGGAGACACAGTGCACAGTCTCCATTAATTTACTAAAATTTTAGTGGTTCGATCTGAGAATTTTTAATATTTGAGTTCTTCTAACCTCTCTGAAACAGAAGCAGCTATCCCCTTCCCATCACCAAAGGTGAGCAGCCTTTCTTCAACAAAGGCCTCCTTGAAAACATGTTAAATAAAAGAATCCAGTCACAGTATATAAAGTATTGTATGATTTCATTTATATGAAGTGTCTGGGAGAACCCATAGAGTCTAGAGTCAGAAAGTGGACAGGGAGTGACAGGAAGTGACTGCTGGTTTTTACTGTGTTTCTTTTTGAGCTGATGAAAATGTTCTGAAATTAGATAGCAGTGATGGTTGCACAATTTTGTGGAGATACTAAAACCCACTTCATGGAAAGCTTCAGAAGGGTGCATTTTATGGTATATGAAGTAACTCTCAATAAAAACTACCTAAAATACCATTGTCCTAGAAAAAGGCCTCTGTGCACCTTTCTCAGAAAGATTTTATTTTGTGACAACCAAATCATTTCATATGATGCTTACAAAACTCCCATGATGTTTCTGTTTTGTGCATGTGGCTGTAATTCAGTCTTTTTCACTACTGCTGAGGATTCTGTGCTGTGAACGCACCACAATGTATTCATTCCACTATTCTGGTGGATATTCTGATTGTTTCTGGTGGACATTTTGATTGTTTCCAGTTAAAGACTATCATAAATAAAAACTTACCTTTTTTGCAGTGCTGGGATTGAACCCAAGGCCTTGTGCATGCTAAGCAAGCTCTCTTCCACTGAGTGACACCCTCATTCCCAAATTTACTTTTTAATATTAATATTAAATTAACATTAAAGGGCAAAGAAGCATCTTCCCATCCGGGCTGTGGAAAGAAGGTTCAAGAGTCATGCTTAGAGGTCATTATTGCCCATCCCGTCTTCTCCAGGGAAGGCCTCAACCCAGCCCTTTCCTCCTCCAGACCGGAAGCAAATGTCTGGTTCCTGGCAAACCACTGAGTCAACTCCTCAGAGAGAAGGTCAAATCAGTTCAGAGCTGTGAAGAAAGAAATTTCAGAAGCCTTTGGCTGAACTCATGTACTACCATCTAAATGTTGAGTGATAGAGAGTATAAACTAAGATACTCTGGCTCATCTTTTAAGTTTCTCATGGGTTCAGAAAGCTGGTTTTTCTTAAATTTCACAACAGCTAAACATCAGAGCAGGCCTGTGAAGGGAATTACCCTGCATTCCGAAATTATGGCCACAAGGCTTTGTCTACTTCCTCAGCTGAGGAGTAAGGATTTGGGGGTGTTCCGGAAGGCCCCTTAGAACTCTGGAACTCCTAGATTCTGCCTTCTGGCTCAGGCTTACAAGAGTGGGGCCTGGGGTCTGGGGTTGCCCTGTGTGATGTCACTGGGCTCTGTGAGGCACCTGTGGGGAGAGTGACCTGGCCCAGTCCAGCACCATAAAATCTGCCATCCTGATAAATACTGCATCTTCAGTTCATCCACACAGGCCCCCCACCTAACTCTGTCGATGACTCTGCCTGGTAGTCATAGGACACAGCAACCTCAGTGGTAGGTGGCAGGGCCCAGTGTGTTAGGTAGGAAGTGGGGACAAAGATGCCAGGAGCCCTTTCACCTAGAGTGGGAGCTGTGTGACACTTGCCTGAATTTTAAATGGGATCCAGACTGAGGATTAGGATTAAGAGGTTCTTGATTTCTCAAGAGGGAGTGGCCCCCAACTCCCTTTTGGGACTGACTGGGCATTTTAAAGGCTTTTGTTCCCAAAAAACAGGCCAATTTTCATTATATAGTCCTTGGTGCTCTTAACACAAGTTTATATCAAGTGGATGTGTTACTTATTCAAAGAAAGTCAGTAAGGGGGAAAAAACCTTTAGAGTTATAAAAGGTGGTTGATCCTGTATGGAGAGAGTATTAAGATTGTCCTGAGAAGGTGGGGGGTTAAAAAAAATACTGATTGGGCTGGGGATTCAACTCAGTGGTTCAGGCACCTGCCCTGCAAGCACAAGGTCCTGAGTTCAATCCCTGGTACAAAAAAAAAAAAAAAAAAAAAACCAAACCTGATTATTGCTGGGTGTGGTGGTGCAGGCCTATAATCCCAGCATTTGAGAGATTTAGGCAGGAGGATTGCTGGGAGTTCAAGGCCAGCCTGGATTACATAGTAAATTCAAGGCCAACCTGGACTGCTTTTTAGTATATGTGCTGCTGAAGCCAGCAACATCCTGAACTACATAACATAGTGAAATTCTGACTCAAAAAAACAAAATTAAAAAAAAAAACTGATTATTAATGGATGTGTTGTGGCACAGCCAAGTGTTACAGTGTTACAATTTGAAGACTCAAGAATCCAGTGTTGTAAATAGGGAAGGGAGGAGTGGGTGAAGGGAGGGGAGGGATATGGGGAAAAAATGAGAACCAAGACCTGTCATGTAAAGGTACAAGATCCCAATGATGAATGTAACTGTACTGTATACCTAAAAAGTACCAATAAACGCAATGAGAAAAAAAAAAAAGAATCTAATGTTCCCTCAGAGAAGTAGGGCGGGCTCAGAGCAGTCCATACTTGAGGTCTGAGCGCCCTACCAGAAATGAGAGCCACCTTACGTTGTCATCTACAGGATAGGCAAGTGTGCGCACCAAAGCAGGGGGCGGAGTTACAGGACACGCCTGAAGCAGAGGGGCGGGGTTTAACAGAACATTGTTATAAGGGGCGGGGCCTAACAACATTCTTGAAAGGGGCCAGAGTTTACTAGAGCATTCTTTTTTCTAATTTAGAAATTTATTGTTTAATCCCAAGCTTCATATAGCTTTAGTTAAAGAAACAAAAAACGTGAAACCAAGACACTATTTCAAAGTCCTAGCCCTTCCGGCTTCCAAATACAAAAGCTCTGAACATTATATATCCCAATTGGAAGAATAAGACAAAAATATGAATGGAGCCATGACATTTCAGAAAACAAAAATTTCACGTAGCTTAAGGATCCTTCCTGAGACGAGTTAACTCAGGGGTGAGGGTAGGGAAGGGAGGGGGCTGTTGGGAGCGGGTACCCAGAACAGGATGGAATCAAAGTCCAGCTATCGGAATCAACTTGTTACACTTCCGTATAAACCTAGCGTCCTGGAAAACATGCTTTCATTTTTCTGTCTCATCCTAGAGCTAGAACCCTGATTCATTTCAGCTGCAATTCCATAGGTAACAGGAAAGACTGCGGCATTAGACTATTCATGTATACTTCTGTGGTATTTCAACAGTGGTCTTATTTCTGGACAAATTATACAAGGTTTGAAGCATAATTTAATGGGTGTGAAGACTTAATTGATTTTTTTACAGTAAAGAAAAAAGAAAAGAGGGGGAAATAAAAGAGGAGAGAAAGCCCTCCCTAGGAATAGCCAGGGGCACTTAAAGAAACCATAAGAATGCCAACGATACCTAAACCCCTTTTTTAAAAAAAGAGGTTTTGGGGGGTGGCTTAAAATATTTTACTCTAAATGAATTTATGTTAGCTGTCAATCAAAGAATGTCACTAATACACTGTGAACATCTCTTGCAATGCAAATCCATGCCCCCCCCTTTACAAGGGAACATTCTTGTAAGGGGGTGGAGCCCAGCAGCACAAACCTTATATTTCTAAAACAAAACATTTTGTGGAAAAAACGGAGGCGAGGCAAGGGCCTGTTCTTATTGTATAGTACTAATCAGCAGATGGACCTTGAGGCCGCAATGTTAAGAGAAATAAATCAGACATACAACCTTAAATATTGCTTGGGTTTTCTTATACGAGAAACCCAAAGTATAAATAAAGAGCAAAATAAAGGATAGATAGATAATAGGAAGTAAAGAGTTAGATCTTTGTTAAATGGGAAAGGGATCAAAAGATACCGAGATGGGGAGGGAAAGAAGGAAAGAACATTAACAAAGGAATTAAGATGTATTATGTACAAGTACCAACTCTGCACAAGTAATACAAACATCATGTACTGCAAACATAGACTAATAACAATTTTGTAAAATACTGATTATTTACAGAAAAATTACTCGTGGCATTCTCTAATGTTAGGTCATACTGTCTTGACTTTAACATTGCACATTTTAAAACAAACTCAATGGTAGTAAATCCAAATTTATGGCTTGGGGATATGCCCATGTGTGTGTGAGTGTGTGTGTGTGTGTTGGTGATTTTTAACTGCCTTTTCTTCTTACAAGATTCCTCTTGTTAATTCTGAAGTGTCTTTGATGCAATTGGATTTTTATTTGCTATTCACAGAAGTCTCCACTGAAACATGCTTTTCCCATCAATCCTGTGTTCTTGTATCCTGTGAGCCCAGCTTGTTTTAGTGAAGAAAAATAACTGAACATTGTTTTTTTCTGAAGACAAAGAGTCAAAAAGCCCCTCAGTCCTATTACCTCTGTCTGGGTATAAGGGATTTTTCTGTGTTTTGTGGCTTGCAGGGCCCAGGTTAGGAGGTGAGGCATGTATTCCAGAGCGCTAGGCTTTAAGGCAATGTGCTATAAGAACTAAGTAGTAATACAAGGACTAACTAGTAAAGCAAGAAAAACAGAGGGCTTATTTTTGTGTTTGGGGGAAAAAGAATTTCCCCCAAGTTTTCTTAATATATTAAAAATCCTTCAAAAGAATGTGTACTCATTTTTATGTAATAATCCTAGCATATAAATACAAGTTTTTCTTTTCCTTTTGATACCGGGGATTGAACTAGGGACCTTGTGCTTGCAAAGCAGGCAGTGGCACCACTGAGCTAAATCCCCAGCCCTAAAAATGCAAGTGTATACTTGGTATATTAGTTATGATTGCCTCCTCTTAACTACTTTTTCCTTTAACTACTTTCTACTTGTTTTGGGGTTTTAGAGAAAGTTAACATAGAAGTCTCAAAGTTTAGACAATTTAATACGAACATATGGTGGGGTTGGGGATCTAGCTCAGTGGTTCTGTTGCCTGCGTTGCAAGAGCAAGGTCCCGAGTTCGATCCCCAGTACAAAAACAACAACAATAAAAAGATATGGTGATAATATAAATTAAAATAGCATCATTTACTTTTTTATTTGTTTGTTTAGAAGTTGAGGTGCTAGGGACGAAAGCCAGAGCTTGACTCCAGCTACAAAAGCCCACTGAGTTACACTCCCAGCCCTCAGTTTTAATCTGTCATTTTCCCATATTAGAAATTATTTTCTTCTCTTATACATTTAATATTTCTTATATGAATAATCAAATATTTCATTTGTGAAGTGTTTTTCCTTCAGTCAGTGAAGGAAGCCACCTCGGAGCATCCAGACCTTTGGCAGGTGTCAAATCTTGTGTCCTGGGAGAATGCTCAGGTGTTGACAAAGCCCCCCTAATCCAAACCTAGCTACCCTCTCTTGGCCTGAGCATCCGCAGGATGGGGGGGTCCTGCATGGTTGGCAAAGGCGGAGACGGTAGATACTTAGGATTCACACCTGGCTGCCAGGAAGTGACTCAAGTTGCTGGGGTGGTGGAGAGGCAGGAGAGTGTGGTGTGGTGGCCCAGGTGTCTCCAGTCTGTGGGATCAAGGTCCTTATGCAGCTGGTTGATGCCATGGAGCGGTCCTGGGTCCTCGGTGCTGGACAGCAGTCTGGGTACCCTCTGAAGTTCAGGTGTGTGTGCAAGCTTGTCCCTCGGGAAGCTCAATGTCAGAAGCATAGAAATTAAATGCTCTTCTGGAGTTGGAGGGCAGAAGGAGAAAGAGCAGTGCATGTTCAGATCAGATTCTGAAGACCTATACTAACTCTCCAAGATGGATTGGGTACACACAGGGGCGGAGTTAAGACTTTTTCGTTTTATTTCCTCAAACTATGCACTCAGGGATAGGGACCAAGGCCTCTAAATAACACTGCTGTTTTATCTGGGTGATAAAACATTGTTAATAGCCAGGCATGGTGGTGCACGCCTATAATCCCAGCACTTGGGAGGCTGAGGCAGGAGGATTGCTGTGAGTTCAAGACCAGCCTGGGGTACATGGTGAGTTCCAGGTCAGTCTCAACTACCTAGTGAAACCCTGCCTCAAAAAAACCAAAAAAAAAAAAAAATTGTTAATAAAATTGTATAAATATGTTAGCTTTTTCTAATGGTGAAAAGATAACACTTTATGTACATGATAAGGACTGCTACCAAAATGATCTGTTTTTAAGACACTTAGAATTAAGTTTAAGCCAAACAGATGATCTACAAATCATGGAAATATCTAATACTGCTTCTCTTAAACTGTTCTGATTTAGGATATTGAAAAACGGACCTTTGAAAACTTAGGTTTACCATGAGAAATAACATAATTCCATATTTATTCTGTGGGTCTTTGATATTTGGCATCTGGACAGCTCTGTATTTTGTGTATTTTCACCATGATAATATGAGCAAACTGCACAGGACAGTCCAGGAGCATGCACCAGCTTGGGCCCATGTGCATGAGCAAGAGATCTACAACCCAGAGGAAATCCGAAAGCAACACATAATAGTGGACATGGCTGTGGAAGATGCACCTGTTGAACAAAAACCATTTTCTCCCTTATGTAAGTATTTTCATTTCCTCTGTGAGCCATTCTTAGCAGAGAAATACATCATAAACTTAATATTTGGAAGAGTAAGAGATATTATTTTTATGACGATGTAATTTTTAAATCATGAAGTGCTTCGTATACATATAGGTTTTTTTTTACACAGAAAATAGTTAAACAAGTATGTGTGCATTTACCAAGTAAATTTAACTTTTTTTTTTAAGACAGAGTCTCCCTATGTGGTCCAGGCTGGACTTAAACTCACTATGAAGCCCAGGCTGGCCTAAAACTCACAGCAATCCTCCTGCCTCAGCCTCCCCAACTGGGATTATAGTTGTGAGCCACCACACACAGCAACATTTTTTAAAATATGGTTTGCATATTTGCTTTAGATAGTATTCTGTTTTTCAGAGAAATAAAATTTAACAGATACAGATCGCCCCTCCACCCTCAGAGGTTAGCTGCTGCCTGCTCTGATGGGAGTGTACCTTCTCCACTCCTCTGTAGATTTTCCCTGCACAACATCTGGTGTTAATATTTATCCATATTCCATAACCTTCTGGAGCTTGCTTTTCCTACTCATTACGTTTGTGCGATGTTTTTCTCCGTGTTAAAACTCGGAGACCTAGTTTAACAAAATAAGTCCACAAGAAAAAAGAAAGATAGAGAACAATAATGAGCGGAAATTAAAAACCAGATCTAGTTCTGGAGATCCTGCCCTGCCCTAGGCACCACTTGTACTTGAGTCCCTAGGGCTCCTCCCAGCTTCTCTACCCCTGCCTTGGGCCACACCCTAATTCTGCTCTGAGTGTCGTTCCACTCAGATGGCGAAGAAAAAAAAAGTGGGGGGAGGAGAAGGAAGGGGGCCAGGGATTTAGCTCAGTGGTTCCGCCTCCTGCCTCACAAGGGCAAGGACCCGAGTTCAATCCCAGTCAAAAAAAAA